ATATACTTTCAATTATCTTCAACCTTGACGTTGGCGAAATCATCGAAATAACGATGGGGTCCACTAAACATTAAAAGAAGAAGAAGAAGAATATTGTCCTATGAACAGTGGCGCAGTCTCGTGGATAGGGCGACTGAACTTTGGAATCGGTCAGTTACATTATTAAATAGCTACCATAGGTCTATAAGGATATTATGACCTCTTAAATTGACAGGTGGGCGCCTCTAGCATTTAAGGTTAATAGCAAGGTATTTTTTCAATATTAAAAGGAAATTCTTTCCTTTTGAAAACAATAATGCAAATTGTTAAAGGACTTGTACCTTACAATGTAACTAGAAAATGCTCTTGACTTCGTTTGTCCGGAAGAAGACTCTATATTAGCATTTGATGCACTTGTATGTAAAAGCGTCACTCATACGCCATCTCTTAAACAGGGCAAGAACATGAAAGAACAACCGGGCGTGTCGTATCTTTATTTACATGTCAAGTATTAAATATCTATGGTCACTCGTTCATCTTTAAGTTATTTTACTTGTACTTCCATGTTAAATGTTTTTTTTTACTTAATCAATCACCTCTGTTATGTTAACGCAAGTGAACACTACACAGTTATGATTTTACAACATGTGAAAGCGCGCTGCCCTGTTTATCCCAGAACGCAAATAAAGAAGTTCACAGTTCCTGATGATAAAGTACTCTGGACCGTTGAATATAAGGAATACAAACCTCGATTTTACACAGCGCCGTCAGTTTATGGCAAACCATGGGCAGATCCCGACATTGGTACCTATTACACTGTTGTAAAATAAAATGAACATTTTGTATAAAACTCTTTAGCAAAGTATTGTCTAACAATGTCTAATAAAATATTTTATATTTTTGCATAGATGACCTTAAATTCAAGCCAACATGGAATAGTATTGATGGAAATGTGAATAGAAAGAGTTACGTAGGCAACTACAGCATAAAAAATGGTTTCCCAATGAACCCTGTAGGTAGAACTGGAATATATGGCCGAGGATTACTCGGGCGATGGGGTCCAAATCATGCAGCAGATCCTGTTGTTACACGCTGGAAAAAACAAGCTGATGGTGAAAATGCTATAGACGAAATTACTAAAAAGTGAGGCCTATTTATATAGCCATTTTATTATTTAATAATATCTGTATATTAAAAATACTATTTAATGGTAATTTCAGACCAATTCTACAGTTTGTAGCAATAAAACGAGGTGATACTGGAGAATGGGCCTTACCAGGTGGTATGGTTGACCCCGGGGAGAAAGTCGGAGTCACAGCTGTCAGGGAATTTCAAGAGGAAGCTATGAACTCTTTAAGTGCTACTGATGGTTTTAACATTTGTTTTCTTCATATTAAAGCATGACTTATGGAATTACCATCTGATGTTATGTTTTATTCATCTTTTTACCATTGTCTTTTGCAGAAGAAAAATCTCAGTGGAATCAACAATTAAAATACTTCTTCAGTAAAGGAGTGGAAGTCTACAGTGGATATGTTGATGACCCTCGGAACACAGATAATGCTTGGTTGGAAACTGTTGCATACAACTTTCATGATCATGATGGATCTACTGTTGGTGGTCTCAAACTGAATGCTGGTGATGATGCAGTTGGAGTCTGTTGGGTTGATATTACTCCGAACATCGAATTATATGCAAGCCACAAAGATATTGTTTCAGAAGTCTATAAAAGATTACTTAAATAATTTTTTTTATAGTTGCGATTTGCATTTTAAGTAAATAAGATGATGAATCACCAGAGAAGTGTGAAAAAAATCATGTAAAGGAAGATCTGCAGAAATAATAAATACAATTGAATTATTTATTTGTTTTATTATATCATTAAAATACATATTGTAAACTTACAAGTACCTTACTTATTGTATTTAATCAAATAACAACTATTTCTGAATTCCTATATTAATGCGAGAATTATTTTAATATGAGAACTTTTTGCATACATTTATTTACACTTACAATAAAAATCTATATCGTACCTAATCATTTGCAAAGAGTGTATTTATTTTAAGTGTTTATATTAGTTATTTGCTAACCATTAAATTTACTACCTGAAGTACCATCTTGTTCATACTTTAGCAATAATTATCATACACACTTATGAGATCCAATAAATTTTTGGTCCCTATTTATTAATATACAGATAAAAGTAAGAGATTTTCCTCATTTCGACTGTTATATTGCACAAAATTAATTTAAATTGATGTTAAAAATTATTAATGCCAATTATGTTTTTTTTTCTAGGTTAATGTTAACTTCAATGAAAGCCCGTTACCTTACAGCTAATGTTACGGTAATCCCTAATAAAAATGACTAGTGACTAAAATTTTAACTATGGGAAACATTAACAATATCGTGCTATGGTTTCACTTGTATTTAAACCAAAACTTACATATAGGTACATAATAATAATAGTATAACATACAGATATCTAAAATTAGTTCTCTTGTCCAACATATAGACTTAACTTCAATATGATAGTTTTGTCATGTTTTTTCTTGAGACAATGCAAATTTAATTTAAATATATCAAATGCTAAATCAGACTAAATTATAATAACCCTCATTTATGTAAACAATTAAAGGTATACCATTATATAACCATAAGTATAATTTTACCTAAATTAGGAACAATCTAAGTGTATGGCAACAGTTTTCGTCACCAGCATATAGTAAACTATGCATAAATATAAGGTATAAATAATAATTAAAGTAATGGAAAACCGTAGTCCTAGTGCATGATGAGGTCGTCCTATGTAGTTTAAGTTATTTTTTTAGATATACTGTACTTACCTTAAAGGGGCAATGCTGTTCTCTCGATCTATTGTAGAATGTGCTTCGAAATAATTTACCGGCGTATTGTTTACAGTTTTAGTATATTTGCATCAATGTTATCAGCACCAACTTTTGTGTCCTTATATGCTAACAAAGTGTAAATATGAAAATATGATGTTTAACACATCTTCCTTTAATTAAAAATCATGATGATTTATAAAGAAAACGTACATATACTCTATGTACAGCCGACACGTGGTCTCTGCTAGGGATGTGCATTGATTCAACGACTAGTTGAAACAACCGTTGAACATATTATGTTTATATTATACAGAATTGTTCATTCAACAATTTTGACAATAGTTTATGTAGGAATAACGTCCTCTTATCTTTTGGTCTTAGTTTATGTTGACCTGGGAGTTGAAAAAAAAAACAAATTAACGTTGTTTTTCGTTAATCATCAACAAACCATTTCTACATGTATTCAGGTTAGCATGTTGTTTTCAGCCAGCGACTGGTAAGCCTGGTAGCAGTTCACGTCGTTCATCAGCCGCTGTATATTCTGCGTAAACGATGGCAGATCCTGAAACATTCATTGAAAAAAATTAACGAGCCGTCGCAAGCGACTTTGTTGGCGGAAAAAATTGTTCTATAGTATAATGTTATAAAATTCCAGCACATTACATCCAACTTTTAAAGTCCTGTTAAAATCTGTTCAGCCGGAGATAACCTGCAATAAACACGGCTACGTAGACAGATGGACAAAAATTTTGCGTATAACTTTTTCCTTTATAACTAAAACAAGTACATCATGTTTTCGAAATTAGATTATTTTTAGATTACAGTTACTGACAATCCAATTTTAAATTGAACAAAATCTTCTAACAAACTTTCAAGTCTTCTATTTTAGACATTTAGGGGATAGATTTAAAAAAAAATAGTTCTTTGGTCAATTTCGTAATAACAGAAATCGTGAGTTAAATCGATATGTACAGTATCGGGTGGGAAGTTGTTGAGCAGAGCGGCGTGGTGCGGGGCGAGGCCTGGCAGCGCGCGCAGGAAGGCGGGCAGGAAGGCGTGTCTAAAGGCGGTGAAGTCCACGCAGGCCATCGCGTGCGCCGCGCACAGCGCCTCCTCGCGCACCAGCGCTCGCGCCCCGCACGCCGCGCCCCCGCCCCCCGCAGCGCCCGCACTGCCCGCGCCGCCCGCAGCGCCGCACACGCCCGACAGCAGCACCGACAGGAACTCGCCCAGGAACTCCGACCTGAATATCACCTGCAATCAACAAAATCTTATAAAAGAAATCTAATGAAATTTAATCATGAGTCAAAAATATTTGCAAGTACACTATTGTGGTTACTAGCTGTTTCTCGAGACTTCGCCTGCGTGAACTTAATAAATAATAAAAAATGTATCCCATGTTACTCGCAGATAAATTATTACCTTTCTAACGGTGGAATTTTAAAATCGGCCCAGTAGTTCTGAATTATTTCAAAACATACAAAAATACAAATCTTTCCTCTTTAAACAATTATTTTCATACACGCAAAGCTAGTATTTTTAAGAGCCGTCTTTTTGAAATCGCTGATTCGTCTGTTTACATACTTAATAATAAGTTTGTTGTTACGTTAATCCAACTGTCTAGCGAGAAGGGCAGTTATTTTAGAAACCGCACGCATAGTGAGGAGGTTTGTAAGCAGTACTAGCCTTGTGGTAGAGTTTCCACTTGGTGTTGAGTAGGTCGAGCGCGGCGAGCGCGGTGCGCAGCAGCTCGATGTCGTCGCTGAGCAGCGCGCGGCCGAGCGCCGCCAGCGCGCCGCGCAGCTCGCCCTCGCGCCGCGCGCCCTCCTCCTCCTCGCACTTGTGCGGGAAGAAGTACCGCCACCGGTACAGGAGCACACTGCAACCAGTTAACACCTTATATTAAAAGCTCTCGGCTCGAAGGACCAACACTTGTAAACAATCTCACTAATATTATAAATGAGAAAGTTTGGATGGATGATGGATGGATGAAGATTAGATGGATGGATTAGAATTTATAGCCTAAACCACCGACCGGATCTCGATGAAATTTGGCATCGTCCTGAAGAACACATAGGCTACTCCCCTTTTGTTTTTCTTTAATTCCACATGGACGGAGTCACTAGCGAAAGCTAGTTATATTGCATTTATGTATGTTGAGAAGCTAGCGTTTATCGTTATTTTGAGTAATGCGATGTAGTGTACCTGGCGAGCAGGCGGTGCGCAGCGCGCGCGAGGCCGGGCGCGTGCGGCAGAGCGCGCGGCAGCACGTGGTGGTG